TTCACTTCGTGATCCATATGTAGAGACTTAATCTTTAGCAGAGGAAAGGACCTTTTGAATTGCATCAGTTCTTCTTCTAAGATTTTTATTCTAAAGAGTTTAGAGTCTTGTGATGGCAGTGGCTTGTGATCAAGTGACTTGAGCAGGAGCCTGGGAAACAAGCTGAAAGGTTTTGATCCACGTTCAATAGCTGACTAACCTTGTTACCTTTATAGATGCCATTTGGAGGTTGGCTCTTTTAATGGTGCTTTTGTGGTGCTTTTTTTTGAGTTTAGAAAAATCTGTCCAGTTGTCTGCTTCCTTTAATGTGTAATCTGTTTCTAAAGATTTTTATGAAGCCAATTTAGCGAGTGAGTGATGTAGTGAGTGCCTATATATCAGTGCAATTCTTACACTTCATGCTGTTTTTTTTTCTGAAAAAATGTTCCTCACTTTTGTTTTTTTCGGTTCTCTTAGGACATTGTTGATAAAGCTGATACATTTCCTCAAGTTCTGCAGAATGTCGTAGAGTGGATGAGGCAGCGAGAACTGGGAACCAAGTATAGCTATTCTATACTGACAGATGGGTATGTCCTTATGCAAGCTTCAGCACAATCTAAACCTGCAAAACAGTGTTTAATCTTTGTGAGAGTATTATTAAAGGTGGATCATGACACTGCCATTTTGCCATTTTATTCTAAATCTAGTTTTTGGGAAAATCAGAAAAGCTGAAGTAAGCAATTTGAAATGAAGCTTGAATCCATTAGATGGCACTGTTACTTTCCTAGCTTTCTTCATGCAACTAAATGATGTTGAATAGGCTTCTTACCCTTTTTTGTTGTTGTAATTACATGTAGCTTTCATCTAGCACATAATACCTGAAAATAACTTTGTGTAATTTCAGTTCTAAGCAACTCCCGTCCTCTCCTGAATCTGAGGTTTCAGAGATGTGTGGTGGTTGTGTTGTATCCTGTGTGTGTTAGCGTTACTGTTAGTACACCCCGTGTATTTCACCAGAAAGCAATAATGGATTATATGCTGTTATCGATGAAGGAGAAACAGCTCGCACAGAAAGCTCTCTGCTTTGGCTCAGGTGACTGTGTCCCACCTCTGACAAGCTTTGTGTGTGAGGGACTGGCTAGTCCTTGAGCTGCCACCTGAACTTGCTCTCTCCCAAAGGCTGGCAGAAAATCACGTCCCCTAATGACTGCAAAGTGAACAGATCTTGAGATCCAGAT